GTCCTTCCGCAGTGTCTCGGCCTTGGCCTCCTTCTTCACCACCTTCACCTCCTTCTTGGCGTCCCCTTTCCCCTCGGCCCCCTCGTCCTTCTTTGGCAGCTTCTTCTCCTCTTTCTTGGCAACTGGTTCCTTCTTGGGAGCCGCTTTCTCCTTGTTCAGCTTCACCTTCACATCTGCCTTCGCCTTCTCCACCGCAGAGTCTGGCTTGGCTCGAGCATCCTTGGCTTTCTCCTCTTCCGACCCTGTTCTGGCCGTCTCCCCCAGGGATTTTGGCTTATCCTTGGCCCCGGCCTTCACATCCTTCTTCTCCACCTTCGGAGTCTTCTCCTTGGGCATCGGTGCCCCGGCCTCCACCAGGCTGAGCTTGGAACCCGACTTCAGGCTCTCCTTGCTCTCCGCCCTCCTCTGCTTCAGCGGCTTCTCTGGCGGGGACGCCGACACCCCCTTCAGATCATTCTTGGTGACCACGGGGTGCTTGAGGAACTCCAGGTGCTTCACCTTCTCCAGCCCCTCCAGGATGCGGGCCTGGGGGGTGCAGCCGGGGAAGAGCACCCGGATGATCTTCTCGGAGCGGCTCACGGGGTGCCAGACGAGCAGGACGCACACCGAGGTCAGGCACTGCAGGGGCAGGTCCTGCTCCTTGGGGTACCCGTTGCCCGCCCACTGCTGCAGGAGGAACTCCAGCTCCTTGGTGCCCTTCACGGGGTTCAGCACGTACATGTCCAGCCGGCCCACTCCCATCTTCTGGAAGAGCACGGTGGGCTCGGCGCGGGGGCCGCTGTCCCGGGCCAGCAGGTTGGGGCGGATGCCCAACTTCTCCAGGTAGTGCAGGGTCAGGGCGGCCTCGTCACAGCTCTTCAGCACGCGGGAGTTGCCCTCGATGTCCTTCAGCTTCTCGGAGGCGTTGAGGAAGACGACGCCCAGCTCTGGGGAGATGAGGTTCTTGGCCCAGTCCCCGTTGCCCTGCGAGCTCTGGGACTGGGACGGGTCCTCCTCCAGCTCGGCCAGCTTCCTCTGGAGCAGGCTGTTGATGCCAGGCAGGCTGTCCGTGCCCGCGTGCGTCACCAGGATGGAGTCGATGCGGTCCAGGTGCCGCACCAGCTTCCAGAAGGAGGATTTGGGGTTGGAGCCCCCGTTGACCAAGACGTTGAAGCCGTTGACGGCAAAGAAAGCAGAGTCCCCTCTCCCGCCCGGGAAGATATAGCAGCAGGGCTTGGAGAGCTTGAGGAATCCCACCATGGTGGGTGGCTCCAGGAGGTCGAAGGGGGACTGGGGTTCCAGAGACTCTGACAGGTACTCCATGAACTCCTCCAGCCCCTCCATCTCCGGCAGGACGCAGCCCGGGTTGTAGCGCAGCTCAATGAAGTCCTGGAGGTTGTGATGCTCCAGGCCCGAGTCCCTCCACTCCCCAAAATCGGGGCAGCTGATGGTCAGCCTGGCCTTGGCCGAGGGGTCTGCAGAGCTCAGGATGTCCCCCACCTGCGAGGGGACGGGGACAGCCGGGGCTTCAGGGGGGAGGTGGCACCAGGGACAGCGATGTGGCAGGCACAGGGGAGCCCTGCCTCACCCCCCCCCTACCCTGGGGGTCCCACATTCCCGGTACCCACAAAGGGGGGGCCCTTCCCTGGTTCCCTCCCAGCCCTGGTGCGGCTCAAGGCGGGGATGTGGCCCCCCTCAGTGTGGCAGTGAGGGGGGGACACTCCAGCAGCCCTTTGGAGCAGCAGCTGATCCATCCCCCTCCCGCTGCCGTGCCCGACTCCCGCTCAGACGCCGGCGACGTGCGCAGACAGCGGCTCCGGCAGCGCCCGCCCGCAGCATCCCCCGGGGAAGGGGGGGACAGGCAGCTCCTTCCCTGGGCTCCCTCCCCCCGGAGCACCACACCTCCTTATCCGTGAAGATCTGGATGAAATCGCGGAGGGAGAAGCAGCCGGTCTGCAGCATCAGCTCGCCCGTGTCCTCCACGCAGGGCCCCGCGAACACGAGCAGCTTGTGCTGCGACGCGTCCGTGATGAGGTTCCGCAGCTGGGGACGGGGGAGGGGGGATGTGAGGACGGGGGGGGATGTGAGGACAGAGGGGACGCGGGGACGGCGCTCGGATCCACCCCAGGGCCGCCATTCCCGGCTCACCTCGTCGCACAGCGACTTGTCGGAGGGGTTGAGCAGCACCAGGGTCTCCAGCACATCCCCGCGGTGGTGGAGGGTCCTCTGACCTGCCGGGAGCAAGGGCTGACCCCCACCCTCCCCAAAATCGGGCTGCACCCCCACCTCGTGGAGGGAAGTGGGGGGGCAAGGCCAGAGCCTGCCCAGTTTTCCGGCGGAAGAGGGACAGCCGTGATCCTGCTCTGGACACCGCGGGGGCCAAAGGACACGTTTCCCGTGTCCTTCCTGCCACAGGGAGTGGAGGAAAGGCAGGGGGGGCGGGCTGGGGGAGCCCCTTCTGCCCCCCCCCCAAATAACACAGCGAGCGCTGGGTGCTCCTGGGGGGAGCCTGGGGGTGCACCCCCTTCCTAGGCAGGGAACCACCCCCTGGAGACCAAACTGACACTGCCGGGGGTGGGACACGGAAAAAGGCACCGGAGCAGCCCCAGCTGCATCTTCTCCATTCCCTTCTCCCATGGAAAATCACATCCCGCCCCGTGCCGGGAGAAGGAAGCGGTTCCTCACGTGGGGGCATCACGGGGTTTGGATGGGGGGGGTGGGCACAAAGCCAAGCCTGTTCCCACAGAAAGAAGGGAGGGGGGTGGTTCCCATGGAATCAGGGGGGTCCCTCCACCTTCTGGGGGGAGTTTTCCCCCTTTCTCCCCCTGTTTCACCTCGCACAATGCTGGAGAACGTGGCCGAGTGCCGGGACACGAAGAGCTTCAGCTGCTCGTCCAGGTTGCAGAGGGTGAGGTCGATGTCCCACGAGCGGATCCCTGAGGAAAACAGGGGCCAAAAATTTGGGGAAGGAGGGGGGGCGGAGCTCAGCATCCACCAACACTCACACGGTGCCAGTGGGGACTGTCCCCACAACATCCCCCCCTCACCAATATTGCCCCTCTCACCTCACCCCGAGCCGGTTTTGGGAGTCCCCAAACCCCCCTGGATCCCGAGGCCCCGACACCTGCCCGGCAGGTGAGCGCCCTGCACGGTGACTCACGGCAGCACCGGCTGTGCCAGCCCCAAATCCCAACCCCTCGGGGCACGGGAGCACCTTTGCCAGCACCTCCTCAAAGGGGGTAATTATGGGATTAACGGCGCCCCAGGATTCGGCACACGCCGGGCTCCACCTGTGGGCACCTGTGTCCTCCTGGCACACCCAGGGGCAGCCCCAAAACGCCCCCTCGGGGCCCCCCAGGGGGGTTGGGGGGTCAGGTAGCTCCCCCAAACGGCTCCCAGTAACGGTCACCGAACTGGGGGCGATGGCGTAACGGGGGCTTGCACAAGGCTTGGGTTTTTTGGAGGGGGGTTTGGGTTTGGGGACGTTCAGGGCTGCCCTCGCAGGGTCCTGCCACGGGGGGACGATGGGTCAGCAGATCCCCAATGTGGGGATTTCTGGGATTTTGGGGATCTGCTTCAGTGTGGGGTGTTTGAAGTCACGGCCTGAGACACTCCCCCCACCCAGCTCAGGGAGCGGCAGGAGTGGGACGTGGGGGCTGGAGGGGATCCCTGCGGCATTTGGGGTGAATTCCTGGGGGCTTGGGGCAGGAAAAGGGGCAAATCCTGGGAATTTAGGGGAGCAGAGCCTGGGGATCCAGGGGGAGCAAATCCCAGGGGATTTGCAGCTGGAGGAGGAAGAAAAGCTTGGAGACCCAAATTGTGGGGATTGTGGGGGAGATCGTGGGAGTTTAGGGGAGCAGACCCCGGGGGCCTGGAGGAGGGGGGTAGATCCTGGGGTTGAGGGGCACGAAAAGGGGCAAATCCTTGAGAACAGAAGGGCAGATCCTGGGGGTCTGAGGGCAGGAAAACCGGCAGATCCTGGGCTTTCAGGGAAGCACATCCTGGGATTTTAGAGGGCCAAATCCCGGGGGACCCGGGGCAGGGAAGGGGCAGATCCTGGGATTTTAGGGAGGGGCAGATGCCGGGGGGCCTGGGGCAGGGAAGGGGCTGCCCGGGGTGGGGGAGTCAACCCCGGGAGGCCCCTGCGGAGGGAAGGAGGGACGTTGGGAGGAGGGACCCCCACGGGGGGGGGGACCCTCCGCGGCCGGAGCATCACCGCGCGGTCTCACCTCGCTCCAGCTGCTGCAGCGCGGCGGCCCTGAGGCCGGGCCGGTGGCAGCCGCCGCCCACGATGGCGAGCAGGGAGAAGCGGCCGCGCGGCCCCGGGGATGCCGCGGGAGCCGGGGCCGAAGGGGCCGGAGGGGCCGCGGGCACCGGAGCCGCCGCCATCTTCGGGCGCCCCCCGCCCGCCTGCCGGCCACGCCCCCTTAACGGCCGCGCCCCCTGCGTCACCACCGCCCCGTGCCCGCCCAGTGATGTCACCGCCAGCCAATGGCCAACGGACGAAGGGGAGCGGGTGGGAGGAGCAGAGGTGGGCGCGGGGCGGGGTCTTAAAGGGGCAATGGCGGGGTGGGGCGGAGGGGTGGGCCCCGCGCGGTGCTGGGTGGGCCGGCGGAGCCCCCGCATCCTCTTCCCTCGGGTGCTCCATCCCTCCGGCTCCGGAGGGTCGGGGATCATCGCTACCCTAATAGGAGCCCCCCCAGACCCAACCCTCAACTTCCCCTCCCGCTCCCCTGCCCCGCATCCCACCCCAGCCTCGGGTGACCCACCCTTCCCATCCACCCTCAGAACCCCTCACGGCGGCAGAGGGGCGCTGGCACCCCAAAATCCCCCCCAAAAAAAAGCAGGCAGCAGGGTGAATTCAATCATTTAATGTGTCCCACCGAGCCCCACAGCCCGGGGCACCCGAGGGTGCTGTGCAGGTCCGTCCGGGTGCTGGGAGGGGGCTGAGGGACCGCGGCCTCCCCTCCCCTGCGCAGGGCACAGGCGGGTGGCAGCTGGTGTCCCCCGGTGTCCCCGATCCCTCAGGAGCACTTGAGGATGAAGAGGTTGCAGGAGGTGCCGCGGGGGCAGCTGCAGAGCTTCCCGATGCGCGCCCCGCGCCGCACCGCGCACGGCTCCCCGGGCTCGCACTGCGGGACCGCACCGTCAGCCCCGGCACCCGGAGGGGGTTCGGGGGGTTTGGGGGTCCCCCTGAACGCCCAGGGTGAGCACCCACCGCCCCCCAGCCCTGCCGTACCGAGGGCACCCAGCTCAGCCTCTTCTCCAGAGCCGGCGGATCCCTGGTCCCGAGCTTCTCCAGCACCTCCTGCAGCACCTCCACCTGCCAGACACGCACCGGGACACCCCGAGCTCCCGGGACAGCCCAGGGATCTGGGCCGGGTCATCCCGAGCCCCCCAGAGGCTCTGGATCTGCATCACCCCGAGCCCTCCAGATCCTTGTCACCCTGAGTCCCCGGGAATGTCCACAGGCTGTGGATCCTCGTCACCCCAAGGCCCCCAGGACGTCCATGGTGTCTGGATCTGCATCACTCGGAGTCCCCGGGAATGTCCGGGGGTTCTTGTCATGCCAAGTCCCGCAGGATCCTGTCCCATCGACGGAGGACCATCCCCATCCCCATCCCCATCCCCATCCCCATCCCCATCCCCATTCCCCCGTGCCTGGCGTTACCCCAGTCAGGAATCAGGGCTGGGGTAGGATCAGGGGGCTCAGGGTCAGTGTTTAGGGTCCATCCCACCCCCCATGACCCCACCCCAAAGCAGCAATTCCCACGTGCTGCAGGATGTCCCTGCTGCTGCTCCCGCGAGGAGCCCCCCAAGTGCCCGACAGCAGCGGCACAAAACCAGTGGTGGGGGCTCAGTTTCCCCCTCCCCAGTTCCCCCAAAACACCCCAGCACGGCCAGAACTGGGCCCCAAACACGGGTGGTGGGAGCAGGAGCACCCTGAGGTGCCCCAGAGCCACGCGGGGGGTGCTGGGGACCCCCTTCCCCGCTCCCCCCCCTCCCCCAGCCCCTTTTACCAGCTCTGTCTCCTCTCGGCTCTGCCCGGGCAGGCTCAGGGGGGGAAGGACCCCCCGAACTGGCTCGGGGGTGCTGGGCAGGATGAGGCCGAAGCCCACCAGGCAGAGCAAGCAGAGCCAAGGGTGTCCCATGTTCCCGGTGCTGGAGCCTTCCTGGATTCTCATGGAAGTGCCAGGCTCAGCTTTATACCCCCCAGCCCCCCGGGCCCCGGCCTGGGCAAACACCCGCTGACGCAGGGCCGTGTGTCCCCCCAGCCCTGCCACCGTCACCAGGCTGGACGGGGGGACACAGCCCCGGGAGACGCATCCCTTGGGATGCAGGAGCCAGCAGGATGGACGTCAGCACCGCAGCCAGGGAGGGACCCCCAGGGCGACCCCCCCGCCCCGCAGCCGGGCAGAGGCCACCGCCAATTCCCTGAGCAAACACGGGGCTCATCCCGGCTGGATCATCCCGGTGCGTCCCCCGGACACGGCGCAGACGGGAGGGGGGAAAAGGGGGGCAGGTGAGTCTCACAAACAGATTTATTGCAAAGATGGGGACAGACAGGGGGGCACGGTGGGCCTTGTTGCCCCCCAGCCCTCCCAGTATCCCCAGGGCAGTCCCCCAGTGCCACCGCATCCCTTTGTGTCCCACAACCTTCCCCACCACACCCCCCCCGGGGGTCCCTCAGTCCCGCAGCATCACTATGGGGTCCCTTCGTGTCTCGCAGCCCTCCCTCCGTTCCCCCCCGAGGGTTCCCCAGTCCCTCCGCATTCCTGCGGGGTCCCCCCTGTCCCGCAGCCCCCCCAGGTCCTGTCCCAGTCCACGAGCATCACAGCCAAGCATCCTCCTCCCCCTCCTCCTCCTCGCTGGGGGTCTGGGGGGTCTCTGCCATGGGACCCCTCACTCGGAGTGTCTGGGGGGAGCCACGTCCTGTCTCTTCGACCTGGGCTAGTCCAGACCCCCCAGTCCCGAGCCGGTCGCCCTCAGACCGGTCCTGTCCCGGTTTGGTA